TGATCTGGAAGTCTGGTTTTGAGACTTATTTACGTGTTTTCTCATTTTGACTGGGGGGGCCGGCTGTTGGCACCTGCCCCGATTACCTCCTCTGAGCTGGGAGAGGTGGGACAGGGGCCAGGAGCAGCGGTAGGGATGGTGGCCCAAAAGCCCCTTCCTGTGGGCTGGGAGCAGCAGGAGTGATGGTAGCCAAGAAGCCCCTTCCTCTGGTTCAAGAGCAGTGAGATGGTGGCTCAGAAGCTCCTACCTCTGGGCTGGGAGCAGTGGGACTCAGTACTGTGGTCTGGTGGTCCGGTGTCCTCTGCGTCTTTGTAGTGTGGAACCAAGTGGCTGTACAGAGGAGCGGTGGTGGGGGTCCAGTGGATTGTTGCCGGGGCGAGGCCTGATTCAGCGTGTTCCGTGTTTTGCTGGACTCGGGACCTCCGTAGGGTGTCCGCAGACCTGCCTTTCTGCAGCGGGCTGATTCGGCCTGTTCTGTGTGACTCGGGACCTCGGTAGGGTGAGCGCAGACCTGCCTGTCTGCAGCTGGCTGATTCAGAGTGTTCCGCGTGACTCAGGACCTCTGTAGGGTCTCCCTCTACTCAGATTCTTAAAGAGTAGTGAAAATCTGAGTTTTCATGTGGATTTCCTCTTTTAAGAGAGATAGAGAGTAGGTAAATTTATGACCTTATTTAAATATATTTTTAGTATTTAACAATTTGTATTTATTTAAATATTTATATTTAAGATTTTTTTTTTTTAATGAGTAAAAATGCTCAAAATCTCCACCTGGGGCCCAGATTCCTGTTTTTCACAGGAATGCTCAGTACTTATATTGTTTAAACAGTGGTCCCATGTTTTGCGAAATGTGTCGTGTCATTAGGAGATTCAGTTATTGTGTAAACATACAGAATGTAATTAACACAAACTAAGATGGCTACGATGTCACTAGGTGTCATAATCTAATGGTAGCACTATAGTTCATACAGACTGTCATTGACCAGAACACTGTTATGTGGTGCATGACTGTATTTTAATTTTGTCTTAGAAGTCTCTTAGATGTCCTAAGAAACTGAATACACAGCACATATTTATTTCTCAAGCCATTCCTGAGGTCTCATAAGGGGCAAGCAGCTGCTGATTTTATTTGATATCTCTTTTTGCAATCATTTTTTTTTCTTCAGACATTCTTAATTCTACCGATGGTATCTCTATTCCCTGTTACTGGTCCAGCCACTATAGTTTCTTATTTGGATTAGTTCTGGCAACTTCTAACTTTCTTAATCTTATAAGCCAGTAGTTGGCAAACAGTGGCTTGACCAACTCCCAACTTGCCAGTATAAAATTTTATTGGAATAGAGCCACGCACATTTGTTAATTATAGTCTGCAAAATCTGAAAGGCCTTTCCAGAAAGCTTGCAGATCCTTACTGTAAGCCATTCTCCATACTGAACTAAAACAGCTCTGTAAGATAATTTAGATCGTGTCATGTCCCACTTACAACCTTTCACTGTCTTAAGGAGACCCTCATCTCACTTTGCTTTGGCTGTGAGCTTCCAGTGCCTTCATTACCCCACAGTGGCATGTTTTACATAATGTGTACATAGTGATATTTGTCAACTGAATTGCTGTTGTGTTTCCTTGTATGTGTATGTTGTAGGTACCTGTTTACTGCACTAAAACCGGTGTAAAACATTTGCACCACAAGGCTCAAGAGTTTGACATTGGAGTTTATTTTGAAGCAAATGGGCATGGCACAGTAAGTTCTCTTAAAAGATCACAACTGGCCTTAGTTAACACTTCAAAAAAAAATGAGAATTGTAATTGTATTTCTGGGTAGCAATAGGTAATATTCTACTCTGTTGAAATGACTACACAGTGGTAAGATTATTCGGTTAATAAGTATTTTCAAGTGTCATGAAACTGGTTCTTTTAAATTTTAATGATCTTTCTTTGTGAACAGATACTGATTTTTCTCAATAATTAAAAATAATGCAGTTCTTTCTTTTCTTTTCTTTTATTTGGTATTGGGTATCGAACTCAGGACCTCACACTTGCCAGGCAGGTGCTGTGCCGCTTCATTTTCTTAAAAGGAGATTATCCATACATTTTTCTTCCACTGGACATAGGAGGGAAAAGGAAAAGTTGAGTAGCTGTGGTGAATTGAAAAGTGTTAAAAAGTTGAGATTTAAGCTGGGGATTTTTAGCTCAGTGGCACCTTGCCTGCCTTGCAAGTACAAGGTCCTGAGTTCGATCTCTGGTACCACACACACACACAAAAGTTGAGAATTAAATAACTGGAAATAAATTTAAAATAATTAGCAATAGCATATTAGATTTTAATGGTTTTCTTTGCAATGAATATTTAGAAAAAATTTGAGACATAATTCACATACTATGAATTTATCATTTAAGAATATACAGTTAAGTGGTTTTTAGATTCATAAGGCTCAGGATTTTTTTTTTTTCATATTTTCCAGGTTTCTAGTTTTTATTAAGCACAAGACCATAGATCTCATTGAATCTTCACAACATGCTTTGGACAAAGAAATGTTATAATTAGAAGACAGGTTTTGAGAGGTGACAGATTTTGGTCACCAGAATCTGACTCCAAAAGCTCCTTTTTATTAAATGGAGCCCAAAGCATCATTAATGGGAGGCTTGCCTTTTCCCTACTATCTATCTAGTTCCTCTGCTTTGTTACAAACTGTGCTCAGAATTTACTGCTTAAGGAATTACTCAAAGACTACTTCCTCCCCAATTCCTTACTCTTCCTTCCAGCTGTAGAGATAAGGACCAAGGGATCATTCTTGGACAGCTTAGGAACAAGAAGCCTCTCTTGTTCCCTAGATAGTAATACCTTCATTAAATGAAAACTCCCAGATTGTCCTACTTGGACATGACCTAGAGGCGGGAAAACAGACCAACAAGGCAAACCAAGCCATCCTGTGCCAGGAGGTTGCCAGGATCAAACCTCCAGGAGTAAGGCTCAGGAGTTTTTAAAAAATGTCTTTATACTTCAACCTTTATAGTTGAATTGACCAACAGAAAATTTGAATCTAGGCCAAATCATTTTCCTTATTAATTCAAAGTTGGCTTCTGGAGGCCATAAATATAAAGAGAGAAAAAAGGTCCTATAAAATACAATTAAAATATTAAGTGATCTAATGCAGGGGTTGGTAAATGTTTTTTAAAGAGTAGATAGTAGATATTTTAGGCTTTGCATAATTGCTCATATAATGTAAATGAATGATAAGGTTATGTTCCAGTAGAACTTAATTTACAAAAACAGGTGACCAGCATGTACCGTATTTTACCATCAAATGTGTTTCAAGTAGTTGAGCACCATATGCTGCTACTCTTCAGTCCTGGGCATCAGGACTATAAAGACATGGGTAAGGCATTTGAAAATGACAGGAATCTTGAGGAACATGATATATATTATAATAAATACCTATTACACTGTCTGTTCTACTGTGATTAAATGTGATGAACCCTCTAATGTTGCCCAGCTCATATTCTTCAAAGGATACAGACAAGCTTTAAGTAACCTAGCTCACAGAACTTATTTGATAGAGGGAAAACAGAATGGACTCATAATGTATAGTCACCTTTTGTCAAGTTGGTATCTTTTTAATCAGCTGTTTAAATTTTTTTTTTGGGGGTACTGGGAATCAAACTTAGGACCTTATGCTTTCAAGGCAGGCAGCAGAACCACTGAGCTAAACCCTCGGCCTGTCAGCTGTTTAAATTTTGATAAGCAGTTTTATAAACCATAAACTTTTTTCCTATGATATCCTTTGGGTTCAGATTTGATCTCATTATCAATTTCATATAAGGCTGCCATCCCCCCCCCCCAGCTCTCCAGAGTCACTAAAAGTGAAAAGTGGTTTAGCTAGCAAGATAGTTATTTCTGAGGCCTAAATGTTTTGTGACTGATTTCTTTTGCTTTCATTGCAGGCATTGTTTAGTAAAGCTGTCGAAGTGAAGATAAAACAACTAGCAAAAGAATTAGAAGACAATAAAGGAAAAGCTGCTAAAATGCTTGAAAATATTATTGACTTGTTTAACCAGGTCAGAAATGATGGGGTGGTGGAGGTTTGGTTACCTTTACATTGTTCAGAAGATAGGGCAAAGTGTGTTATATAAAAAGTTAAAGTGCAGAAGTCCTGGCCTGCTTGCTCCTTGCAGCAGTAATATATATGCTGTTGAGATTATGCTGAAAGGGAGTGACAGAACATTTTTTATATGCTTCCCTCCCCATACATTTTATGATGAAAAATAACAAAACAAGGTTGGGCACTTTACATACCTTTGTTATCCTTGTAGTAACAGGGAGAGCAGTTATTATAGTTCCTGTTTTACAAATGATGAAACAAAAGCCTAGAATATGGGTCTAACTTCAGGTTGATCTTACACCAAAGCTCATTTTCTCTATTTCACCATGATATCTTTTGTCATCATGGTATATTATCTCAAAGGGATCTAATTATAAAGAAAAATTTGAGTCACACGATATTAGGCCCAAACCTTTAGTCTAATTTTTTTTAGGTGAGGAAGAGGATGAAAGGCAAGTTTTCTAGGAGTTAGTTTTAAAATTTGTTGTATATTTTATTTTACTGTTTATATTAATTTACACTCCAGTTAATAATGCAGCATGAAGGGAAAGAGAAACACAGGATATTATACCTGGTTTTCCTAGAATGTTCCTATCCAAGATTTGCTTATTTCTTCCATTTGGTTTCCTCACCTTCCAGGCAGCTGGTGATGCCATTTCTGACATGCTGGTGATTGAGGCAATCCTGGCTCTGAAAGGCCTGACTGTACAACAGTGGGATGCTCTCTATATGGATCTTCCAAACAGACAACTCAAAGTGAAGGTGTGAGAGAAATTTTAAAATCTTTTAAAAGATAAAATAAGACCTTACTGTTTTCTCACATCTTTAAAAATTACTTAACCATTTTATTGTTTGAAAAGTACTTGGTTTCCAACTTTTTATTATAAAGAATATTATGCATGACTGTGAATCATTTAAAAATTATGGTAACTTTAACAGATATGGAGAAAGCACAAAATGTATGCCTCTATACACTCAGAACTCAGAGTTCTGTTATTGTCTTATACATACTATTTTGAAGCAAAACCCAGACAGCCTGTCAAATGAAAATATTTCCTTTGCATTATTTTTGGCTCACGAAAGTATTACCTTAGTATAGATGCTAAGGAGTAGAATCTGTGCTCAACAGGAGAGAATATTTAAAAAAGCATTTCAGGTAAATGGCTGGTTGATTTCCATATAAGTTAATACCAGTTTATATATTCTCCAGTAAAATTTGTTAGAAAAATCCAGAGCCCTAGAAATGGGCTTCTAATTGTTCAAATTAGTTTTGGGTGTATTTAGGAGATAAGACAGCTCTTGTATGTAACAGGTTACCGCTACCCTATTAAAAAATACCTGAGTCATTTGTAGTAAAATAGATGCACCTTGAGACCATAATGTTACGTGAAATAAATCAGACACACAAGCTTAAGTATTACATGGTTTCTCTTACATGAGAGACCTAAAATATAAAGAAGAAAATAGATAACAGGAAGAGGATTAAAAAGAAAAAAGGAATCAAGATGTGTTATGTACACGTACCAACTCCCCATGGTCTGGAATATAGTCCTTACTGTAAACTTGTCCAAAAATAAATACCTAAAGTTATTATATCATTAGGGTCTGAGGGATGATAGGGAACTTAAAATCATACAGTATTTACTGGCCATTATTTAAGTGTCTAGGGATTTGTTTGGTTTGCTAAAGGTATAGCTCTCACCTTGGAAAAACTAAAACTTTAATGTAATTTCATCTTATACTTTTAGTATTTTACTACCTCAGTGTTGTACTTTATAATACAGTAGGCCAAAGTACTGGTCTGTTACTGTTAATTCCAACCAAAAGATTCATTTTATGTTGAGCAGGTTAGATTTATGAAAGGGATTTAATACATATAACATGTATCCAACACTTCTGCTTAGGTTGCAGACAGGAGAGTTATTAGCACCACAGATGCTGAAAGACAGGTGGTTACACCGCCTGGACTACAGGAGGCGATCAGTGACCTGGTGAAGAAATACAAGCTCTCCCGAGCATTTGTCCGGCCCTCTGGTACAGAGGATGTTGTCAGAGTGTATGCAGAAGCAGATTCACAAGTAAGCTGGGATAGTTCTGAAAGGGTCTAATGAGAGAGGGTCAGGGGAGAGACACTATCAGAGGACAGAAAATATTTTAATATTTAGGATTTCACTGTAAAGGTTAAGGTTATATTTCTCATTTTAAGATTATCATGAATAGTAGTTACAAAGCTAAACAAATTACCTCTTTTGTTCATTTTCCCCAATTTTTTTTTCCCCCCGAGACAGGATCTCACTGTGTAGTTCAGATTGTCCTTAAACTCATTATGTAGGCCAGGCTGACTTTGAACTTGCAGTGATCCAACTGCCTCAGGCTCCCGAGTGCTGGGATTATAGGCATGCGCCACTGTGCTCTGCTTTTCCCCAAATTATTTTTGATTTATTCTAGACTTTTTCAAGTGCTATACTTCTGTGACAGGAATAACTACATTTGACATGTGTTAAAGCTATGCACTGTGAAGTAGATAATCCTGCTTTATAAGAACAGCCAGTTTTGTAGTCCCTTTCTAAACCACTGGTAATAATTGCTTTTGTCTCTGGGCTTTTGACTTGAAAAGACAGCTTTACTCTTGTTTTCCACCTGGAGTCAAGACCAGTGCTTTGGAGTTTTGTTTTTTTTTTGGAGTCAGGATCTTGATGTGTAGTTCAGACTGGCCTCAAACTCTTCATCTTCCTGTGTAGCCCTCAGGCTGGGATTTTTATAATACTTCCTCTTCACATACTCCATCTTTTCTATCTTGATACAAGTGCTTGCACAGAAAAGTAGGTTGAACAAGGACTTGGAAGGAGACATTTATATAAGACTTAGGAAGCTTTTTCTTTTTTTGTTTTTTAATAGAAGCATAGGTCACCTCTGAATGCAGTAAACAAATAGCCATGGTGGATCAGAGAGGGCAACTAAGGTCCTAAGACTGATGGCAAACCTTTTAGAGATGAGTGTCCAAACTGCAACCCAAAACCCACTTATAAAGTGGCAACACTGCAATTAAACCTGAATACTGAGGCTTTAGTTTAGGAAAAAACCCGCATACATTAACATCTTTTGTCTTAAAAGAAAAACAACATGCTTGCCATAGGTTCCTAAGAGTTCCTAAGCCAGTTGTGGCCACCTTGCCACAACTTATATTTTATTGAATTTATTCAGAGTTTCGGAATAACTAATTTTATTGCCTGGATTAACTGAACTTACCTTATTTAGAAGAATTTAACTTGCTTTCCATTTATTTAAGGGCCTGGGAATTTGTTACTGAAAGATGAAAAATAGTTTTCATTTGAATATGTTAGTGAAAATCAGGAAGCCCCCCACCCTATCCCAGAGTTGCAAGTAACATGATAGATGTTACAGCTTTCTTATCTGATCTCTTTAATGTAATTTGCAGGAAAATGCGGATAGCCTTGCACATGAAGTGAGCTTGGCAGTATTTCAGCTTGCTGGAGGCATTGGAGAAAGACCCACACCAAATTTCTGAGGATAATTTTTATGTTTTGAAAACTGGATTTTTAAAAAGCTTTTACAAAACTGTAACAGTAACGGCAGTACTAAGACATTCATAATCATGTTTACATGCACCTTACTGGATTGTTTGTAGATCAATCTTTTTTCCTAAACACTACTAGAATATTTTTTTTAGAAATAGGTAAGTGTTTTATGCTTGTTACAGAAGTTTACCTCTAATTATAGTCTCACTGATATAAAATATTGGGGGCTTAAGTATATGATTCAGTCATTAATTTTATAGTATATGCACAAATCATTCAGAGTGCTAGAAAATTAAATCTTACTACCAACTTCTTGTCATGTTTCTGCTGTGGCTAATACCTAATTGAGGTGTTGCTTTACAGCCTTCCCCATCCATGATACAAAATGAGGAGGGTGGAGAAGACTTTTTACTACCAAATTTTCTGTCATCAGCCTGGGTATAAGATAACTTACCTGTCTGCTTAGCATCATCAGAAATTCATAGGTGGAAGCCAGGAGGTGGTCTTATCTCTCCTCCACACTGAGGGGGAGGTGCCTGTGATGTCCTTATGAAGCCACACATTTCAGGCTTTGGTTTTTCTTCACTGCTTTCAGTGAAAGGATGTGGAAGAAGCAAATCTCATGTTACCAAGCCTCTGATGGCAAACCATTCTGATACTAGAACATGGTTAATAATGGAAAGAAGAAAATCCCCAACCAATCTAAATTAAACCAAGCCTGAAACCAATAGAAAAAAATGTACAGTGTGTATTTTGTAGGTTTAAGACAACTCAGGACAGTAAAACAATGGACTAGATATATATAGAGAGAGATCTCTCATAGGCACCATAATCAATATGAACCAACAATATTTAAACTTGAGTCAGGCCACATTAGCTCTTATTTACAAATATTTAAATACAACCTAAAATGTGTTTTGTTACATATATAAAAAGGAAAAAGAAACTATACAACTCAGAGCAGCATGTCTATTTTAAATAATTTTTACAGTGAAACCACTGGCGGTATTCAAGTTTTTATCACCCCTTCCAGAAAATCCTTTTCTACCATCTCTTCTATTTTTTGTCTGGCTTTGCTGGAAAATGGTTTGTGGTTCTCCAGTTTCATGTCCTTATTAGGGAAGCTGTTTGAGTAAAGGATAGGGCTCCCTGAGTGTCCTCCACACCGACTTGTGACTTTGCTGTTGAAGACCTGGCTGAGGACATTGAAGAATGGCAGGAGCTGTTCCATACTGCGCACGGTGCAGATGGTGAGCAGCAAGTGCCCAGGCTCCCAACCCAGTGTTCTCCCTGAGTTGTCTTCTTCTGGATTTTTCTGTAGAAAACAAAGGAATCATGGGTGTACTATATTAAAAAAATTAAACATAATAAACATCAGAAATCAGAGTTAAGAAGTAAATGCAAGTGATGCTAAGTCTTTATTCAAACTTAATTAAAACCCTTGCTTCTAAGGCCTTTCAGTGCTCCTTGATGCTTTTAGGTATAGGGGTCTGACACCCCCGATGTAATAATTTCCAACCATAATGCACAGGTAAGTTTAGTTAGCAGAATTTCTTCTAGACAGCGATAAGGAGTCAGACAATAACCAGCTCCTTGACTTCTGGACTCCAACCAAGGACTAGGTCACAAATGATTATAAAAGAATTAGAAAAGGGCATTGAGCTTCATTCATTTAGCTAAATGGCCTAAACTTGCCACAAGATTATAGCAGGGTCCAAAAGTGGATAATTGTCATAAAGTGATAGTACAGTATCAGTATTGTACTACACAGAAAAGGGATCCCCCAGGAGACACTGCTGTTGCTTGTGGGTTGTGCTAAATAACATGGTTAGTGTTTGGCTCTGTCATTTACTTACTGTGTTGCGTCCTTGGGGAAGACATAAAAGTTCCTCACTGATGAAACAGGAAAATCTAACCTATCTACTAGCAGTAGGAGAATCAAATGAGAATATATTTTGTAAACTCAACTAAATACAAGCACCAATAATGTCTGTTTCAAAAGCTAGTTTAAAAAACCAGCTGGGCATAGTGGTGCAAACCTGTAATCCCAGCACTCAGAAGACTGAGGCAGAAGGATCATGAGTTCCAGGCCCAACCTGGGCTACATAGCAAGTTCAAGGCTAGCCTGGACTACATAGCAAGACTTTGTCTCAAAGAAAATAAAGCGAACTGAATTACACAGCTATCTATCTATCTATCTATCTATCTGTGGTCTTTTAGAGAAATTTATAGATGTTCGTACTTGAGCAAAATCACAGATACAACACAGTAAAGATAATGTAAAACAATGAACTACAGAGAAAAAATCATGCACTTAAGACTTAGGAAGGAGAATTACTTCACAAATGGAGTTTCTCTTCTAAGACCAGATGTTGTAGAGAAACTTTCATTGTTTGCCTGATATTGTAATATCACCTGTATCCTTGTGGAGAAAGATGCAAAATTCTTGTGACCTCAAGGCTTGCTTGCTTGTGTTTTTTTTGTGTGTGGTGCTAGGGATCAAACCCAGGGCCTCATGCATGTTAAACATGCACTCGACCACTAAGCTATAGCCCCAGCTCTGCTTGCTTATTGTAAAGCAGTATGTTAAGAATATAGATTTAGCTGGACCTGTTGGTGCACGCCTGTAGTCCCAGCACTCAGGAGGCTGAGGCAGGATTGCTCTGAGTTTGAGGCCAGCCTGGGCTACATAGTGAATTCAAGGCCTGCCTGAACTGCGCAGTGAGACCCTGTCTCAAAAATGAAAAGATTAAAAAAAAGAGTATAGATTTAAACAGGAGGCTCCACAAGAAAACAAAAAGGTCATTTAGTTCTTTATCTGCAGCCAAAAAAACTCAAGCTGTCAGTTTCTTAGTAATTAAATTCAGATCTAGATTATAATATAATACAAAAGTATCACCATTCTCTTCACTATGATACTGGCTTTAATCGGAGATCTTTGAGTGGCTTTCAAATCATTAATGTTAGTCAAGGACTGGCTGACCATATCACTTCTATTCCTCTAAATCAAACTGCAATTCCATTATATGTATCAAAGGGTATACAGAGATGAATTTATTTCTGAAGGAAAGTGAATTTTATACTTACACCCTCTATATAGCTAATTTACAAATGTAAGACAACCATGGTTTAACCTTTCATTTATATTACCTCAAGAAGTGTCTTAAGATGGATTTTTCCCCCAAGCTCTTGACCAAGAAGAGCACAATTGTTTCAGTGATTATGGTGTTCTTTATCAGAATTATACCTCGCCCTCAAATATTTTTCCATATAATTTCTCCTTTGACTTCTCAGTCTACATATGGAGAAAGACTTCCTTCCTGTTTACCTCTCTTGTACTTGATGAAATGCAGACCTGGGTTTTGTGTTTCACTATTGGGTCCAGATGTGGCAGCTTTTGCTGCTATATCACAAGCATCAAACAGCCACCCTCACCTGATCCTTGGCCATCTCCAATCCCTCCAAAATCACTGTCTTAAAGTCCTCCTCGTCCTGTGGAAGGAAAGAGGAGAACTCATAGCCTTTGTATCATTGAAAAGTGCTTGGCCTTGAAGACCTTGTTTAAAGGGATATGAATAGGAAGATGGTTTCCAATCAAAATACAGTAGTTGTCTTATTCTGTGGGGTAAGTCCTGGGCAAAAGTCCTGTCTATCTTTAGATAAGGAGTCTTAAAAGAATTCTTATTACTTCTGAGATACTGGGATAACAGGGCATGTGTCTAGGGTCATATGAAATTATATTATTTCTGGATTTGTCATGATTACTTTTCCAAACCCTGTGATATCAAAATAACCACGTCCACTCCTAAACTCTGGATCCAAGTTTTATCCACATCTCTTTCTTTTTAGCTCCTAAAGAAGCTACTGGGATTATAAATCAAATTCCTTGTGTCCTTCAAGGTAAAACTTTTTTTAATCACTTTCTTCCATTTCACTGGGCAGTATGTGGAATTCAGTTTAGGAGCTGCTGCCAGATTAGGGAAAATTCAGAAGATTGGAAAATTTCTGAGCACACAAAGCACATACTGCAAACTAAACCTCACAAAATAACCTACATTATCCTAACATTGTAGAGTTTATTTTCAAAAAATTTGAATGCAAAAAAATGACAAAAGATGAACAAGAAAGGCCCAGTGATGAGCATGCCAATTTTATTACTCTTCTGTTCCTGGCAAAAGTACGCAATAAATTAACCCAATACAGATAATATGATACAATATACAATAAATACAGTAATGCCTCAGTTCACGAATGCTTCTATTTGTGAACAGTTTGGTTAGCAAGCAGAAGCATTGGGCAAAATTTTGCTTCCATTCATGAACTGGGGTACTACTGTACATTTTACAACTTTTATCTTCCTACACTATATTTAAGTAAATTTTCACTTTTACCCCTGAAGAGTATCTTTTAACTAGAAGCTTTATATTTTTGAGCCTCTTCATTACCTTTCCATAGAGTGTAATTCTTTTTTTTTTTTCTGGGTACTCATAGAGTGTAATTCTTGAGTGTTTTAAAAACTGGATTTGGGGAGTAATGGCTTGAAATCTATTAAAATAGGAACTGCTCAATGTCAACAGTAGAAACGAGAAAAGAAAATCTACATTAAGGGGAAGTGTTTGATGAGAAACTTAAGATTCTGTTTTATGGCTATACTTGTCAGGATATGGAACAAAGTTTAGGTTATAATCAAAAAAGCAAAAAATAACCCACTTAAAAGATGAATTTTTAGCATGTACACTTTATATATAAACAGAATGAATGCTAATTATTCCCTTTATTATTCTAATCAGAGTTCACAGATTCAATTTTGATGAAATATTCCCAATTTGTTTAAATTTAAAATGTAAAATCTCCTCAATCACTGATTATTTCTTGTTGAAACCATTTTGACTTTTTTTTTTTAATTTTTTTTTTGGTACTGGGGATCAAACTTTGGTCCTTGTGCTGGTGAGGCAGGCAGCGGAATCACTGATCTAAACCCTTGGCCCCTGACAGATTTATTTTACAAGTTTCTTTTAGAATTGCATTTTTCTCAGTTAACTCATAACCTGGTTCTCCTCAAGTCATTCAAAAATAGTCAATTTTTTTTTTGGTACAAGGATCGAACTTGGGTCCTTGTGCTTGTGAGGCAGGAGGCGGAACCACTGAGCTTGGACACTTTTTTTTTTTTTTGGTACTGGGGATCGAACTCAGGACCTCCTGCTTATGAGGCAGGCGGCAGAACCACTGAGCTACATCCCTGGCCCTGGTGTATTAAATTCTTAAGATTTGACATTAAAATCTTTTAGGACTACAGAACTAAGTAGTTATGTGCATGGTTTTGAGGTTTTTATTCTTCTCTGGGAATATATTTTAAGATAGATGTTATTGGTGTACAAAAGATTTCTTTTTAAAAAATGGATATCTGGGCTGGGATTTAAGAGTTTGTCTAGCATGTGCAAGGCCTTGAGATCAATCCCCAAAACTGTAAATCAAATGTTCCTTTAAAATATATACAATATATTTATTTTTAATGTTTCCTTTTTTAAAAAAAACTTTATTGAGACAGGCGAGGTCTTGCTAAATTGCCCAGTCTAGCTTCAAGCTTGCAATTCTTTCAACCTCCTCAGTAGCTGGGATTATAGGCATGTGCCATTTCACCTGGGTATATTTTTTTAAATGTTCATAAATACTAAGTTTATATCAGTTCTGAAAACTAGGGACTTGTTTTCAAAATAGCTCAATTTGA